TTAAATGTTTAGAATACATTAGAATAGATTATATAGTTTTTAGACTATGTAGATCAGGCATGTCCAAACTCAGGCCCGCGGGCCAATCACTGCCCTCTATGCCATTTTATGTGGCCCTCTGCTGTTAACACAAAGTTGCCATTGCGGCACTTTAACAGAGTCATCCAACCAACTTCAGCTCCATGCTATACCTTGTTGTAAATCTCAGACCCTCTGGAATCCGCTCATTGACTTTATTGTTATAGACTGTCATTTATTTTATGATTGTGTCACAACATTCCAAATAAAATGCTTCTGTGGTGTGAATCCATAAGGACGTATCAAAACCCATTTTAAATTCTAGAAACCAGGTTGTCGGCCCCAGGTCAAGTCCGATGAACTAAAGTGGCCCTCTTACTAAAAAGTTTGGACACCACTGATGTAGATTATATAGTCTTATAGTGTTATAAGTCAATATGCTTGAAAATGGTGTCTAACATGGTGACATCAATGCTTGCAAGTTAATAACAATAAATGAAAGTAATTTCAGGAGCCACTATAATGGTCTCACTGGCCGGATGTTTGAAACCTCTGATTTAAAGGAGCAGAAAGCATTTTTTTTGCTGTTTTTCTCTCGCTAGTTGGACACAGTTCTACAAATACAATCCACAGCTTTTTACCAGTGTCTTACTGCATAAGGAGCTCAGACACATGTACCGGCTCCTCCTTCTCCCAACACCAATTTCCTATAGCTGCAGGGGTTTATGCAATGACCAGCTGAATTTCACCAAGAAACTGGCAACCCAAAACAAAGACCCATGTGATGATCATTTTGCTGTCTGATTGGGTAATCAGTTTGTCAGCTAACTTTCAAAATTTTTTTTTAACTATCTCTTGAAATTCTCTTTACATAGTTTTGATGCTATCACTACTTTTCACATGCGTTGTTCACTTTTAGACAGAAATAGGAGACGAGCTCTCCTTCTCAGCCAATCAGCTCTCAGTCCAAAGACAGCATGTTGTGGTCTTACTTGTTCACAATATGTTACCTTTACTCAATGTACTGTATTATTCCTTAAAAAACAAAAATATTCTCAATGGGATTCAGCTGGTTAAACAAAATAAAAAAAGCTTGAAAACCAACATCAAATGCAAACCTACACAGCAAACACAATGGCAGTCTCAAATGATCATATATCATTTTCAAATATTTATCTTGTGTCTGGGGATACACTTTAAATCCTGTCTCATTAAGTCAGGGCTGTCCTACCCTTTTAGTAAGAGGCCCACTATGATTCAGACTTGTCCAGGGGCTGACATCATGAATTGTAAAACTGTATAGACTGGATTCTGAACTTTAAAATGATGTGTCCGTATCGCTTCACACTCTGCATTACAGCCATATATGGAATTTTATGATGCAATAAAAAAAAATAAAAAAAGTTGACGACTGAATTCCAAAGTATCTGGTATTTACAATGTGGTATAGCATGACGACATTGGTGAAGATGGAGTTGGCTGGATGACACTGTGAAAGTACCTCAATGTAGTTATGTGGGCCACATAACATGACACAGTGGGCCGCATTGAGCCTTAGTTTGCACATGTCCTCTTTGCAAAGTCAGACAAGGGCTGAGTTGAAATGTAATTATTATACATGTTTAGTATTATACAATTCTTAGTGTAGTGAGTGTGTTAATGTGTTTTAATAAATAAGCCAAAAGTCACCTCAATATGAAGTGTGAATTTTGGATTAATATTGATTCTTTCTTGTTAACTAATCGGCGATTCAAACATCAGCTTAATCTGGTGTGAACTTCTCTGCGTTTGGAAAAAGGCCAAAAATCCTCCTAAAGCTTCTGTTAACTTCATAAAGACCAGTCACGAGACACACTCGCTGAACATCCTCATACTATCACTCATTCTCCTGGCTACTTCAAATCCTTTAACAACACCAAAAAAAGTAATATTTTTTAGGAAGTCGTACATACATTTCAAAGCATAGATTTTTCCCTCTTAAATATGCCCAGGAATGAGGAGCTAATTACGAGCATTCCTGCCTGAATTAGCGTTTGGTGTGTGGTAAGGCTGTGTTCGCCGCGCTGCTGATCCCTCCACAGAGCTGGTACTTATTCCTCTCAGAGCTCACAGGTCACTTGGTTAATTAAGGGTCCACTCAGTCTTTAGATAAACTCATCGAAGCTTAATGTTTGCACTTTTTGAGGTCTTGTCGCTCCGCCTGGTACCCCCCGTGCTAATCTACCCACAGACAGGGGAGCAGGTTAACCCAGCTCAGCAGCGCCAAGCTTCAGCGGCCTTTGCTTCAGTCAATGAAGAATGTGCGTAAGCCAGGGGAAAAATTACTCTAACTTTGTGTATTGTACAAATGCTGAGAAGAAAAGAAAAGAAAAGAAAGGGGGTGGGAGAGTGAAATCTCTTAAAGAACAGATTAGTAGTATTGTTTATGGTGCGTGGAGAGGGCAATGTTAGTGAATAGGGCATACTACTTTTATAGATATGGGAGGGGGGCTATAGCTGAGAAATAGCAAAGGGGTCATTTAAAGCGGTATCTAAAAAGTAAAATGTTTGCAAACAATAATGGGCTGGTTTAGGGAAAAGGAACTCAATGTTAAAGAGATTTAAAAAGGGTAAAATAAATGGCCTTTAATAAAAAAAAGGCAGCAAGCAATAACATAACCAGATAATAAGCTAAATGAATATACAAAGTCTTTTAAATAACTCTCTTAAATCAAATTCAAACACTAAAAATACAACTTCCAGAGTTTCTAAACACAGAAAAGTAGATTCAATTTAAAAGCAGCACTTCGCCAATCATGAGTAGCAGCTGTGGCATAAAACTGTTATTTTGGACTTGATGTGAATGTGATCCCAGACATAACAACATGCAAACTTTTCAGGCTTATTGAAACAACCTGAAACATTACCTTGCTTTTCGTAAAACGATTTAAAAAAATGCTTTATGGGGAGAACAAAATTCACAAAAGTTGCGCTATAGCTTCAGAGGGTGTGCAAACATTTGGAGAAATAGTCCATACCGTATGTATTTAGACCACCGTGACCACATGTCATTCAATGTTCAATCTCAGATACAAATTAAGGCAGCACATTTCAAAACAATGAATCAACTTCATATTTCTAAAGAACTAGCATCACGCCTGAGTATTATTCATTTGCCATAAAACGCATAATAAGATCCCTTGTTATATTTAATAAAGACAATTCAATAAGCGCATCAAAAATCTTGCATTCCCACTTCAAAGTGAGCAAAACCTCAAACACAAACTGCTTTTTGTCAGCATTTACAATTCAACCCCAACTTCCTGAAGACATACATTTAACTGTTTTAAGACAAAATCCTGAAATCAATCCATTATTTAAAAGTGAGTTCCCATGATAAGCGCTCGGATAAAAAAGAGCAACTTACCACACCGCTGCTCCCTCAACACAGCGCGCTCTACTCAAACAGAAAATCTGACCAGTCTGCCGTCCCTTGGCCTGCCAGAGAATCAAAGCTATGAAAAGATGTGAATGTAGCTGAGCAAATAGGATTAAAGATGGATAAATCCAAATGGCTGGAAGCGCAGCATGCATTAAAGAGGAATTCTCTCAGAAAAAGATAATCCCTACGTAGGCATTTTAGCACACTTCACTCACTCCTGAGACTTTTGCACATGCACACATGGTAAAGGAGCCACATCTGTCTGACTCTCTGCTATTAATACAAGGCAGACCGCAACAGTGACACATGCAGGAGACGAGGAAACACAGCGTCATGAAGGCGGCAACGTATGGATTCCGTTCAGCTGCGTCCAGATAATAGCGCTGTCACAACTCTCACATCTCGATCTCAGAGAAGACTTCACTAATGACACTAAAACTGTAACTGTAACTATAACACAACAATTATTTAAAAAGAGTTGAGTGTAGAATGTAGCACGTGCATGGATTAGATTATCAAAAAACTGTGTCTAAAAATGATATTTTCTCTATCTCTTGGTGGCTAAGTGGGATTTTCTTGTTTGCTGGTTTTATGGCGGGGTTTCTTCTAGAACAGAAGTCTACGACCTGTAGCTCGGGAGACAGTCCAAGTAGGATTCAGAGAAGAACAAATCAAATAATATACTAACTACTGTATGTCAGATTGTATTATTCATAGTTATTATTCATTATTGGAAACGCAAACTCACTTTGTGCACAAGTAACAAATATGTGATGATAAATAATGACTGTCCCTGATATCAGCCTTGTTCACACAAATATATCACCTCATTTTTCCCAGGACCGCCTGAAGGAGTAGCTCTCTGCCTTTTTCGTCTCGGTAAAGTAGCTCTCTGAGTGAATCCGTTTGGAGACGCCTGCTTTAGATGCTCCCAATCACCCAAAACATGCAGCAGTATGAACTCCAGTGGAGGAGAGACTATGACAGGTCTATAAGAATCCCTCTCTCAGTGTGGGCGTCCCCGAGGTTTCTCACTTTTTCCCCGTTTAAGAAAAAGTACTTTTTCTTTGCCGATACAGGAGGGTCATTGGTGAGGACAGTGGGGAGGATCCAGGACACTCGACATTCAACAATATTTATTTAAATGTAACAACATTTATGTACATTGGTCATTTGCCCGTTATGGACCAATACCTATTTCCTTTTTTTTTTTAATTGTTTGATTCTCTGATATGTGTTGGTAAATTCAACGGTTTTCTATTTGTTCAATATACAAACTGAAAATGTAAACAATGACTGCATATGAATCCTGGTCTGTGACACATAGTAAAATTATATACTGTACTTACACGTAGCAGAGTGAAGGAGATTGGATTAATATACAAACTTTTTTCTTCATTCAATCCTCTTTCAAACCATGTACAGGTATATTTTTTTGTTTTTATTGTTATCTTTCCTCTGTGAAGAATCGTTTGTATATACTGTATATATCAATGTTAGAAATAAAAACCGTGTGCCGTGGCGTCCCTTGCAGCAGCAGCAGCAGCAGCACTGGACTCACCTTGAGCACCTCCATGGGCACGGGCGCTGCATGGGGCAGGGCTGAGGACACGTTGATGGCAGGGGTCTGTGTGGAGGTGGTCTGGGGGTAGTGAGTGGAGCTCTGGTGAGTTCTCTGCTCTCTGCGCTCCTGCTCCTGGAGCTGCTCCCTCATCAGCTGCTGTCTCAGGAGGACACGGGACGGGACCGAGGAGCACAGAGGAGGTTTGGACGCACCCACACACTCCGAGGGGCTGCAGAGGGAAAACAGAATAAGAAGTGTGTTTGACAAAGAACGGGTCAAAGAGAGACTGGACAATATGAGGAAATGACATCAAACGAAAAGGGATTGCTTCCATGTCATTTGTGTTGGTTTGGCCATGAAACAGTTTGTCCAGTGTGTGGCAACAATGTGTAGGTCTCTGCAGCACTGGCATTCTTGAGGATTTAAGAAAACAATGCAAGCTTTTGGTAGCGGTACCTGCCTGGGTATTTTTCTGGTTCTTTCTCTGCACAAAAGAGACATATTTTAACCTTTTTAACATGTTTACAAACTTCCTGTCTTTTTGCATACCCTGAGTTAATCTATCTATGCCAAATGTAACAGAATTTTTTTCCATTGTGAGATCAATAAAGTTAATTTTTTCTTATCTTCATCTAAATAAATGCTCATAGTATTGGGCCTATAGGTGGCGCCGGCACCAATGCCAGTTCAATACCACATACAGTAACTGACATTATAGCTCAAGGAGACAACATTAATCATAATACAATAAGAATACAATAATATATGAACTATCCTGAGTAAATAATATATCTTAAAGACATTGAAAATAATGTAGTTATTCCGATAAGGGGTTGTGTGATAGTAGCCGTGTGTGTCTAGTTGTCTGTAGGCAGGATAGTGCAGAAATGTTGTGCGTACATGCGTTGGGTATAGGGTTAGGGTAGGAAGACACTAGGGGTGTGACGATATATCGCGATACTTTCTCCCGCGATTCGATTATCGATATGCATTTGCCAAGTATCGATATCGTTTTTTTTTTTTTTTTTTTTTTTTTTTATCGTTATTGTGAGCTTTGTATAGTGCATCGTATCGTATCGTGAGGTACCCTTAGGTTCCCACCCCTAGAAGACACCATCCAAAATTTGGGACAATATGACCATAGTGAGGTATGTGCTCTCCAAGTGCATGAATAACTTGAAATCTGGTTATTATTCTAGCAAATCTGAAAAATTCAAGACTGTGACTAAATCATTTCCCGGATACCAGCACTTCAAGCACTCCCTGATAACTGGGAAAGTGTGATGGATGAGCTTTTTCCGAAACAAGTAACGAAACATCCCTAGTTGTGCTCAGTCCATCAAATCATTGAGTAAATTGCATCCAAGCTACAAAAGAAACAGAAGTTTAGAAGGTTTGCTGAATCGGCTCTAAATACAAAAAAGAGGAACATGAAGCTCAAATAGCTGCTTCATCGTTCCCATCGTTCTTTTAAATGAGTCAGCTTCTCCCCAGACGGAGCAGCGCTGGCCCAAAATAGAGCACAGGAGACGAAGGAAGAAAGAGCGAGATCTTTTCGAGAAAACCTGATAACAAAGTCTGGCGAATCCAGCTGTGCTATAATCGCAGTAATTAACCAGAACAGTCAAATACAGACACAGAGAGGGGCCACAGAGAGAAGACCACCTCTGCACTCATCACATGCACCACAAAGACACAGAGAGGTAACTTATGAAATGCATAATGCGTCATTGTGGGAAAAAGACAGATTTGTGGTTTTCACCTTTCCTTTGTTTTCTCACTTTTTATGTTCCACTAATACGATGAAAAAATAAAATCAGAATGTTGCTGGTCTTTGGAGTTTTGAGTCTGCAGCTGGCACCAAGCAATACAAAAGCCTGAGTGAATAATAAGTTAATTCAAATGAGTTTTATGACATTTATAGAGATTTTTCATGATTTATGGACATTGGTCATCTGCCCCTTATGGACCAATGGCTCTATGTGTTTTTATCACTGCATTTCTTGTGCTTGACTGTAGATTCTCTGATCTGTGTTTTGGCGAATTCTACGGCTTTGTTAAGTCCTTCAAGATATTGTGATTTAGGGCTATACAAGGATACATTGAATTGAATTGATTTTTTTTGCTCAAAGCCATAAATATAACTAACATATAAATAACTAATAACTACAGACTAACAGTGACTGACCGAACTAAAAAGCGGTAAATCATGACCGTGAATATTCGATTCTACTGTTTCCAGGTCCTTTGTACTGGGGGTATAATGGAGTCAATGAGAGGTCATATTTAAGGCCTAATTCCACAGATCTGTACTTTGTGTGCGATTCCTTTCATCACTCTCATTTCAGAACAGAGCCACGAGAGTTAATCAGATATTTTCCCATTTCCACTGCCAGCACCAGATGCTTTGATTTTTCCCTCTTTTCAGCCCTGCATACATTAAAGACTCCGGAAAATTCCCCTTTCACCATGATTCGATCAATGTATAAATAGAATTGTATTGGATGGAACATAACATTTATAAAAAAATTGCTTATTGCTTACTCACTCAGCAACTTAGCATAAAAAAATGCAAATCACATCATTTGTTCCATATTTTCCAATTAATGCTACTTTCAAATGCAGTATCGGCCTATATCTCAGCCTTGGATTTAGCTTCACCGCAAAAATATGATGACAAATAAATCAGAAAACGAGTAGATAATCCTTGAGATATAAAAATGTATTTGTGTAAAAGCAAATTCTCTCTTGGAAAATAATCCTCCCGTCCTTGAATTCATACATTTTTGCTTTTACCATATAAATCTTGTATAAATGTAATGTGCAATTCGACCTTTGGACATTAAAGCTAGGGTACCTAACTTTCAATCCACAAACTATGTAATATCCGCAGCAGGTCAGTTTGGTTCCATCACTTATTTTCACGTGCATGTGTTTTAAGCTACATCTTTAAATCAGTTTTTACAGACAGAAAATTGAAAAAGAAAGGACCAACCTCACCCTGCTCCTGCAAAAATGCTTCTGACCTTGAATTAATACATTTTTGCTTGTCCAGTTGCAATTTTTTGTTTTAAATCAAAATGTTGTTGACTTAATTCAACAGGGTCACATATAACTGTAAATATTTATGTTGAAGTTGGGGTATCTTGAAACCATTCAGAAAAAATAACTATGTAAGCCTTGTTCTCAACGCTGTTAGGTTCTACTATAGATTTCACCTGCATGTATTTTTGGGCTCTGTCACATCTTTAGATCAGAGAGAATACCAGCCCTAACTCAGCCAATTAGTATGTACAAGATAGAATGTTTTCTAAAAAGACACCTACAGCTCCTGGTAGTAACAGTGGGCCTATATATGATCACAGACAAGACAGCAGTCAGCACAATCTGTTTTCCTCTGTTACATTGGCGACTGGCTCTGGGCTCCGACGATCAAAGAAAAGTATTAAAAAAATTCTTTGTTCTGTGAAACGTTCCGCCTGCAGTGTACACACCTCTCATGTTTGTGTGTAAGAAACTAAACAATGGACATATAGAGCCCAGGAGTCCCGCCCACCTCCACTCATGACCATTGTGCTCGCTCGGCGCCACCACCAGTCCGCTGTGAGTAACTGACAGGAGTGACAGCTAGCAGCTCATTAACCTTTCGCTAAAAATAGGCCTGAGCAGTGTCCTGACATGTTAAGGCTACAACTCTACAGGTCGGGACTAATAATAATGCTTTTACAGTATTCTCAAGGAAAACCCCTAACCCTAACTATGTATAGGGTTGATGCTTCACTTGATTCAGTGGCTCTCTGCAACAACAATAGATACTGAATTTTGCATATTTTTATTGACCACAGTAAAACGCATACAAACTAAAATATAGATTGAAATTGGTCCATTCTCAAAACTAAACTTTATGTATGGAGCATTTTTGTCACTAATAATATTGTACTCTTAAAAAAGCTAAGCGATTGCATTATGCTCACCATGCAATTTACACGATTGTGCAATTTTCCTGTTTGATATTAAAGCTGGGGTATCTAACTTTGAAACCGCAAACTTTGTCACATCACAGTTCGCTCTAAAATATATGCTCTATAATATGTTTCGATCACTAGTTTTTATATGTCATCTTTAGTTCAGATTTGTCGGACAGAAAAGTGAAAATGAGCGGACCACCTTCTCTCAGCCAATCATCTCTCTGCCCAAAAAGTCAAATAGACACTCACAGGGCTCTTTCTTATTAACATGAAGACGGAATGTTGTGGTTTGATCTGTTCAAAACAATTTACTTTTATGAGACTTTGTGTATAAACTCAGAAGTTATTTATGATGTCATGTACCCCCGGCTTTAAGTTACCCTAGTAAAATCATTCTTACAATCAAAAATTGCATTTGGAATTCAGACAATAAACATAAAGACATTATAAATACACATATCCTGGTGCAAATGTCTATATCCTGATATCAGACCGGCAAAACGCAGAGGGGAAATACGCAGAGATAATATACCAAACGCATTTAATAGCAAATCACATATTGCAGCCCAAGCAGACACTCTTAGCAGACATCTGATCGCACTTTTAGCTAGCAACTCTTTATTGTCAAAACAGTAACTTGAGACTCGTGGTTACAAAGTACAGCAGTGAAAAGTCCAGTGGCGTGCGGTCGTCCCATACTCACAGACAGTCAAAGGCAAACGGACGGAACACTCGCACTCCCACAGCCTCCATGTTTGTTTGTTTTCCCTGAAGGTGCACTGGCCGCCCTTGAAACCCAGTGAAAGTCATGTTGGCGGAGCAGCCCTGGAAGTGTTTCAGGGGGGAGACCATAGCGAGGAGAGGAGGAGAGAGAGAGGGGAGAGAAAGGGGAGAGAGGGGGGCCCGGCTGCAAACCTCCAATCACCTGCTCTGTGGTCCACTTCAATCTAGAATATTACAGTGAGAGAAAAAACTACATGCAAACACGGGTTGTGAGAAGTGTCAAAACTAGACACTAATTTGCACCAGTATAGACACTAAATAAAAGTACATAAACAGGACATTTGACTTGTGTTTTGGAGATGCTTTAACTATATACAGTATAACAACTTTTCCAACACCTTGTGGCCCTATCAATAGTATTGTTATATTGCTTATTGTCGAAAATGATCAATGTGATATTGAAATTGGTGTCACATATGTATAAATCAATAAAAGTAACCATTTGTTCAAAACACCTCCATCATGTGAACAAGAAAAT